CTTGCTAGCAAGTCCCAAATCTGATGCTAGGAAGGAGATGTGTGAGGATAAAAAGGCAGAGATAATAACCAATATATTTATCAATTTATTCTCAAGTGCAGCCCAATGTTGGTTACTGAAACCAGGTCACCTCCCCATCATCTCCCAGTCCCAGGCAGGTAACTGAGGTCACTCGTGGTGCTCAGCATCCCTTCCCCTCCAGTGCTGGGCCAGGTCAGTGCCCAAGTCACAGCAAATCCAGCTGCAATCAGCACTGCCCCAACAGGAGGGCACCAAGACAACCCTTCTGTTACTCTCAGTCCATCAACCACCCCCCTTTTTTAGGGGCCAATCCCCCAGACTGACTTGCCCTGAAAAACAGTCTGAGATGTGCCTGGAAGGAGAAACCTGCCCAGACACTGAGCTACTTTGAGGTAAGACACTGCAATTGGAATTTATACAATATTTTTCCCTGCCCCTTTAAGGATGGTAAATTATATTTACCTTCCTTACTGCTGAACAAAGTAACATTACAACATAAATAAACTCTGAATATTTTTCCCGCTGACAGACACAGCTTTCACAACTGAGGGTACACTGAGCAAATAAAGGACCAGATCTGGATCTTGGATACTCTGAGCTGTCATATTGCTTTAGGTTTATATAAAATTATCAAGGGAATCTGAAGTTTGATCTGAAGATTAGGAAGTTTTAAGCAAACAAAAAAAGAAAGGAGAAACAAGGATACTACGTTAGAAAGGCAAAAGTACAGGCTGAAAAAGAAGTTTGGAAATACAGCATAAAATTGGTGGAGACATTCTATCCAGTTAATTCCCTGTGTCCTCAGACACAGAGAGGAGGGAAGATGGGCTTTCTGCTGAGGACACAACACAGGGGCTCAGGAGATGGAGCTTGTTTGCACAACACCAGGAGACCCCAACCTGTTGCCTTCACGTAACCCAAATAACGGGTCAGGACTGTGGGAGCTCCAAGTGACCTGTTCCCATTTTGGACTGAATGACTCCCCACATTACCACAAAGCAGCACATGGCTGGGCTTTTAAAACATTTTCTTAGGGAAGTTCAGGGCGTTTGAATAATCCCCAACCCTTGATTTCAGCAATAAATACCTGCAACAGGGACATGACAAAGCTGTTATGTGTCATTGTTACCTAACACTGACAACTTACTTGGTGTTCACTATTACAGGGGCATTGTTTGCTCCACAGCCCATCTTCCCTACAGAGCACAGCTCCAGAACTCAGTTTAACAGCTTAAATGAAAAAAAAAATAAATCTAATTGGTTGGATGGAAAGAGCACATTGGTTTTTAACCAGCACAGCCTTTGCTGGACATATCTGGACTATGTCTTCGAATAGGAGTTTTCAGAAACACATTTTTGATCTTAGTGGACTTCTTAAAACCTGTTATCTGGATGCATCACAACAAAGAATGTAAAAATAGCACCCTGTTAGAGCTGGTTAACTGATAATGTAATTCTGCAACAGGCCAGTAAAGATGTACAACCAGGAAAGTTGTACCTCACCCACTCCCAGTTAAAAAAAATCCTGTATCAATATCTGCTCTAGTGGCAAGTGCTTAGTGAGACCCTAAAGAAATTTCTGATTCTACCATCAAATAGGAGAGTTCCAAATCTGTACAATAAAGAGTAATTTGAACAGATAACTTCATTTTGCTTATATTCCTTAGAGCACCTTAAACTCGTGATACTGGTCTTGCTCTGTGCTCAGAAAATGCTACTCAAAAATCATGTATATTCCAGAAGACAATAAATTAACATCATTCTTTCCCACCTTATGCCACATTTAGCTTGATTCTGTTTTTTTATTGTGTAGCCCCCGTTCTCATCTTGGGCTAGCTATTGTGATAAAATTCACACACTAAAAAGGAAATTTCTTTTCTCCCCCCTTAAAAAATTACTGGTCCATACAGAATGACAACTTCTAGTGCTCAGCAAACACTGAGAAAATTTCAATGAGAGACACTTGATAGCAGTGGAAAATACCTCCTTGAAGCTAAAATACATCCTATAATCCCAAAGCCATTGTCAATTGTATCTATCTCTCTTCTTTTTAAGCTGCAATCCACTAGTGTTATAACTGATTATGGTTTGATAGAAGATAATCTTATCTGGAAGAGCCTTGCAATTACTTTAAACTGCCATGAAGTGTTTTTTCACCTTTAGTCAGGGCCTGATAAAAAGTTTGAATCCAAAGAAGTCACAGATAAGGTATTTTAGAAGGTGATTTTTCCACTTAGTCTGATCTACTGCGCCAAAGAAGAGTAAAGTGGAGATGTGGAGGAATATTAAAATAGACTTGGCTCTGACTTTCCAGTGAGGGACCCATTAATAACAAGAAGTGACATTGTGACTCTCCTAAAATGATACAAGATTGTCTCAAGCAATCACCTAAAAGTCCAGTCAGCCTGATCCTTGCTGAATTGGACAAGAAAGACCTGGAAAATTTTGAGTCACTGGAGACAAACGTTTTGCCAGAAAAGGTGGACGAGTCCCCCCTGGAGAACTCCTGTCCTGCAGCCTCAGAGCCACGATGCAGTGGTTTGGTGATGTCAGTGCTGAGGCAGGGACACAAACCAGCTTCCTTAGGTCAAATAATTCTGAAATTAATCATAAAACACCTCACGAACAGGGCAGCTCAACAATGAGAAGAACTGTCTGTAAACAAAGTGCTCCTGAAATACACCTGTAAAACTGGAGGTCCCTTCACACAGCAGGAATTACAACACCACTGTCCCATCCCACTCCTCCCAATGTGGGAATTGTACTCCTTTTCCCAGTGCTGTCATACAGTATGAGGATGTTCATCAAGTAAACAGCACCAAGTATTTTCTCTTACATCGTGATGCAACACAGCAGGATTGCTAAATCATGATACACAACATGATCCAAAGCATCTGAACCTTATGGAATGTAAATCTGAGGGACACCAGCAGCCACTGCTCCACAATCCCACTAGGAGATATAGCACAGAACAAAAATAACATCTTCTGATCCTCCCTGGAATACAAGCACTGAGGCTGCACTGCAGCTGGTCCAACACAATATATTTTACATGCATGCAATAAACATTAATGTGAAATTATTATTTTAAAGTTACGAGAGATTTCAAGTTTTACATGATTTGGGCATTACACTGGGACAGTGGGAAAGTCCTGATCAGTAACAGGACATAACCCATTTGGAAGTCCTCTAGTACATGAGCAAAACATAAAACCTCAGTCTATATTAAAAACCAAAGTAAAACAAAAAGGAAACACCACCTTTTAAAAGGAAGAAACAAGAAACAGTTGAGGTTATTCCACGGCACAGGTTTGTCCATTACAGCCTAACACTACAAGGCTTCAGTGAAAGAGCAAGAGGTTGAATAAATACAGAAAAGGCAATCAAAGGAAGCACTGGAAAACTGAGAAGCCTGTTTCAAGAAGAAACGACATTAAATACAAGGCCACAAACACGCCCATCTTGCTCCTCAGCAAAGAGTCTTACAGGCAAGACGTTAAGTGTATTACTACGCTAAAAGGCTGGGTGTTTTAGATCACACACAGAGAGCACACGAACGCGCAGCGCCGGGCACAGCGAGGGGACACGCTGCACACAAAGGCCACCTGGCAGATGGGAGAGGAAAATAAACAATTAACCAGGAGAGCGGCCACCCAACCCCAGGGCCGAGCCGGGGGGCCGCGGGTCAGGGACAGAGCAGAGACAGGAGGACGGAGAAAACGCCGGGGAAGGACAGGGCGAAGGCAGAGTCCCCCAGGATCGCCCCCTCCCCAGCCCAGCGTCCCCTCAGGGTCCGCACAGGGTCCGCACAGGGCCCGGCCCCGCCCGGTGCCCCCTCCTCGAGGCCCGCCCGCCCCTCAGGCCCCGGCCCCGCGCACTCGCCTCGTCCGCGCTCAGCTCCTCCATCGCCTTCCTCTTAATGGTGCCCGGAGGGAGGGCGCGATCCTCCGCCCCGCCGCGGGGCCGCTCCGAGCCCGCGCTCTCCTGCCGCCGCTGCCCCTCGGGCCGCCTCACAAGGGCATCTCCGGGGCGACCGCCGCCGGCCGAACCCACCGCCGCTGCCGCCCCCGGCCCCGCCGCCTGCCCGCTCGCCCGCGCCTCCGCTGCCGCCGCGGCCGAGGGGGAGCCGCCCCTCCGCGGTGCCCCTCACACGCCCCCTGAGGCCCCTCAGCCCCGGCCCCCGCCCGCCCGCGGCCGCTGCCCCGCGCAGGGATTATTCATCAAAACAACAGGGCGGCGGCGGCCATCTTGGGGGGCGGGATCACGTGACCCACCGCACAAAGGGGGCGGGGCCACGCCGGGGCCGCGCGCGCGCCGAGACGGCCAATGGCGGCGCGCCGAGGGGGCGGGGAGGGGCGGGGCCAGAGAGGCAGGGAGGGAGAGAGGGAGGGGCGGGGCCACGCGCCGCTCGGGAGGGGCGGGGCGTCCGTGAGGGGCGGGAGAACGGCGGGAGGAGCGAGGGGTCCGTGAGGGGTCTAAGCAAGGCGGGTGGGGGTCCCCGTGAGGGCAGGGAAGAAGGGCAGGAAGGAGCAGCGCCCTGAGGCGTCGCCGCCTGCCCGGGGTCGGTTGCAGCCCCTCAGGGCCGCCGCGGTCCGAGCGGGGTGAAGCCGCTGAAGCCTTCCCCGCTCCGGTGGGTCCGTGCATGTTAATCCCTTCCCAGTGACGAGGGAGTGAGAATCCCCAGGAATTTTACCTATTTACTGCAGTCTGTGTAACACATCGACGGAAAACCAAGGCACTGAGACCCTGCTGAGCACTGGGCCCTCAGCCTTTCCTAGATGAAGTTTGAACCTGAAGCATTTTTTTTGTCTTTATTGCCAACTTTTCTGCACCTAGTTTTTTCATTATACCACAAAATGGTATCTTTGTGAAAGATATTCATCTTTTCCCTCGAGGAAACCAGTCAGATTAGCTGTGAGTGCGTTGGAGGGTCACCGCCCCCAGCTTGGCTTGTTTGATCAGTTATAAACAGGTAAAAGGGAACAGGATTTTTAAAAGCTGTGATTTGGAAGGGGATAAACAAATTGAGAGCTGCATCAGCAGGTTTTTAGCCCAGGATGAGCAGGCACTAGTAACAAGACCTGAACAGGGCAGCGGGGTTGAGTCAGCAAGGGAAAGAATCCCATAAAAGCTGGACAACAGGATGTTCTAAGATGGAACTAAACTGGTCTTTATGAGCAATTAGGACATAGTTTCATACACACTGCAAATAATCACACAGCAATAAAATTGATCCAAGCTTTGAAATGGGTATATGAGGCAGGTAGGATACTTGGTCTTGTGTTTTTATGCGCATTTTTAATGTATTAATCTAATTTTTTTTTGAACAAAACCTTTTCGATGACTTAACTGAGGTGCTCAGAAAGGAAAAAAAGAATTTTATAAATAATTGGATCGTAAGATATATTGTTGGTCTTTTTATAGGACATATGTATATTGTTACCTTTGAATTTTAGATTACACTTCATTTTGTGTTTACCTTCTTGGGATTTTTTTTTTCAAGAAAATTGAAACACCTTTGAATAAAAGGGGGTCCAAGTCCTTGTCTGTGGAGCTCTGCTCTTGTCCTTCAGTTCTTTAATTCAAGTTCATATCTTTTTGGCAAAGTCTATATTAATGCCTTTATTTCCCCCCACTTTCAGAACACGCGACTACTCCCTTCCTTTTTTTTCACCACGAATTTCAAGGTGTTTAATTTGTGTTTTATGAAAGCGTGTGGGTCGGTTTGCACGGAAATGAAATCAGAATAAGCAGTTTTGTCACTGTAGTAGCTTCTCTCAGCCCTAAGATCTCCAGAGCATCCTCAAGCAAGTTCTGCCTGGCATTACCTGCTTCCAGACCAGCAATTTGAAGTAGGAAGGCAGCAATAAAAATAACATCACTCTGCTGATAAAAACTCTTCTATTTTTATCAGGAAGGGCTTCCTAACAGCAACTTCCTAAAGGAGTTATTACACTTCCAGTCATGCAGGTTTCTAAGGCTGCCTTTTTCTGATTTCTACTTGGAGCCTCTCTCTGTACCAACAGAGTTAAGGTCATCGTTGCCTTTCTGCATTGCTTTTACTGGAAGGCACAGCTTGAAAGCTGTGGGGTTTGAGAAGATCTGCGCAGTTTAACACTGAAAACGTTTAGGAGTTAAATGTAGGTACAGCGCGTCGCAGAAGCGCCATCCAGTGGAGCAGAAAACTCCCTGTGGCTGCTGCTGTATTTCATTGATGGATGCGAGCAGGGCTGCTGCCTGGGTTTGTTATTTCTATTCCAGTAACGCTGTAACAGCAAGTTCGTTTTCAAACAAATGAAAAGCTACTCAGTTCCAGAAGGAAGACACTGTCAGGATCCATAGAATAAACACCAGGCGTTTTACTGCTGGTCCCCACATTTCCTTAACTGTGTAAAGACCATTAGTTCTTTTCTTCTTATTTTGGAAACCAGCTTATATTTACACAGGCCTTTAGTAATTACGGGGAGGTCAATCTAACTAAAACCTTTATAGGTTTCAACAGATTTTGTTTGACTTTGGTGGTGGCTTTAAACCCTCTGAACTGATAGGAAGTATCAGGAAGGTGGTGCTACTCATGTTTCAAAATGTCAAGGACTATTTTTTCATGTCAAGTAATTAAGTTGCTAAGCTAAAGCTAGAAGTTAAAACTCTTTTTCCACTCCTGATACACTGTTAGTGTTACCAACAAAGTGCACCAACTCATTTCACTTGTACCTGCCAAGTTGAACTCACCACTTCCCTGTGTTCACACAAGGCAGAATAAAACCTGCTGCCCCATGACCTCCTGTAATATTGCATAAAGAAAAATATTTAACCTAATTGAACAGCTGGATGCAAAATAATCTGAACTAAAGGAGCATCGTTTTCACTCTGTTTATGTGCTTACAGAGTTCACTTATTTTGCAGAGTGGAGTCTCCGTGGATTACTCACGTTCTGGGATTTGACCCCAGGCTGGTTCCCTCTGGCAAACTCAGTAATTATTGAGGAGGAGGAAGCAGCTATGGCACAGTGTGGGACCTCACACTACACTGCAGGATACAGGCAAGTGAGTTAACTACTACTCTGCATCTTAAAGAGAAACGTTTTGAACAATAAATCTGTATTCTTTTTGTTTGCTTCATTGTTTATCTTCCCTCCCATCATTCCCCCTGTTTTGTTTGATGTTGACATGCCCCTTTAGAATTGGGATTCTTTAGAATCCTTGTTTTAATGCAGACTCTTAGTCAACCAGAGACCCAGGCCATACCAGTTGTTTTGAGTTGGACTTTTTCCTACAGAAACACATTCAAAAGTAAGGTACTTGAGGTGAGTTTGGTTTGGGGCATTTATTAGCAAAAATCAGATTTTTGACACTGGCAACAGCACACTTATTTCCTGAGCCAGAAACATCAGCCCATTCAGGTTAATAGGTACAAGGGATCTGATCTTGTCTGTAGGGCCATCCCTGGACATGAAGTGTGGTCTCCTGGGTAGAGCTGTCTCTGCAGGGAGGAGCCAGGACAACACCCAGATTCAGGCTCTCTTGAAGACCTGTCTGCACACTTGGTTCTCACAACGAAGCTCCTACCAAAAAAAACCAAACCAAAAACAAAGAAACAAAAGTATAGATGTG